AGCTTCAAAGGACAGACTGACTCCCTTATTAGGGGCTCATGCAGCTGGTGACTTTAAGTTGAAGCCAATGATCATTTACCATTCCAAAAATCCTAAGGCCCTTAAGAGTTATGCTAAATCTACTCTGCCTGAGTTCTATAAATGGAACCACAAATTCTGGATGACAGCACATCTGTTTACAACATGGTTTACTGAATATGTTAAGCCCACTGTTGAGACCTACTGCTCAGAAAAAATGATTCCTTTCAACATATTACTACTCATTGATAATGCACCTGGTCACCCAAGGGCTCTGATGGAAATGCATGAGATTAATGCTGTTTTCATGCCTGATAATGCAATGTCCATACCTCAGTCCATGGATCAAGGAATTCAACCTTCAAGTATTATTCTTTAAGAAATACATTTTGTAAGGTTATAGCTGCTAGAGATAGTGATTCCTCTGATGGATCTAGACAAAGTCAACTGAAAACCTTGTGGAAGAGACTCACCATTCTAGATGCCAGTAAGAACATTTGTAATTCATGGGAAGAGCTCAAAATATCAACATTAATGGGAGTTTGGAAGAAGTAGATTCCAATCCTCATGGATGACTTTAAGGGATTCACGACTTCCATGGAGGAAACAACTGCAGATGTGGTGGAAATAGCAAGAGAACCAGAATTAGAACTGGAGCCTGAAGATGGGACTGAATTGCTACAATCTTATGATAGAACTTGAATGGATGAGGAGTTCCTTCTTATGGATGAGCAAAGAAAATGGTTTCTTGAGATGGAATCTACTCCTGGTGAAGATGTTGTGAAGATTGTTGAAATGACAAGAAAGGATTTAAAATATATAAACTTCACTGATAGAGCAGCAGTAGGGTTCAAGAGGACTCAGTCCAATTTTGAAAGAAACTCTACTGTTGGTAAAATGCTGTCGAACAGCATCACAGGCTATAGAGAAATCATTCATGAAAGAAAGAGTCAATTGATGTAGCAAACTTCATGACTGTCTTATTCCAAGAAAATGCCACAGTCACCCCAACCTTGGCAACCACCACCCTGATCAATCGGCAGCCATCAACATGAAGGCAAGACCCTCCACCAGCGAAAAGGTTGCTACTGGCTGAAAGCTCATATGATGGTTAGCATTGTTTTTAGCAATAAAGTATTTTTTTAACTAAGCCATGTACATTGTTTTCAGACATAATTCTGTTTCACATTTAATAGACTACATTATGGTGTAAACATAACTTTCATGGACACGAGAAATCAAAAAATTCATTTGACTCACTTTGTGATGTTCGATTTATGGGGACTTCTGGAACCAAATCTCCACTGTACACCTGTATTTATCTTTTAATGGATTTCTTTTCTCTTTCTCTGCTAGGAGGGATGTTATTTCTTCTTTACATCAAGAAAGCAAAATCTGCCCCATTTGTTCTATGACTACCTGTCTCTTTTCTTAATCCCAAGATCAGGCACTACATGTAGTTAATTAGTATCTTCTTCATGCAATTAGCCAAAGATCAAAATTCCTTTCATTCTTTGTGAATTTCCTGAAAACTCAATTCCTATAGGAAATTCTGTTCAATTAATTAAAGGAAAGTATAAATGAATGAGAAATATGATCCTCTTCCCTCTGACCAAACCCCAGCCCCACAAACAAAACATCACCCTTTGCATCAAATACAGGTACAAATGTATTTCCTTGTCTTATTTCACTTCTCCTTATCTGAGATGGTTACACCCAGTATATCAAAAGAGTCAATAAGTATAAGTTGATGACCATTGAAAGTGCTATTTTCTCCTTGTTTTCATCTATGTCAATGTACTGTTTTAATGCATTTGGGATACTAGTCTATATATTAGCCTTTACAATCTCTTAAAACATATGATACATTTCTTTGACATTTCAGACATATAAATCAATTGGTATAGACTCAAGCCAGAAACTATTGCAATGCTAGTAACTTCTTATTAAAGCCAGTAATTAATTCATAGAGAAGTTAGGAGTGATTAAAAGGTAGGATTCAGGTAAAGAAAAATAATCCTGAAAGGTAATCGGATACAAATTTAGATTCTGGGCTACGATGTAATGGAAATTAACATTTATCTCCTCAGATTCATTTGCTCTTAACTATTCTAAGCATGAGAGTAATGTTCGTAAAGAAAAATGAGTGTGTGAGTATGAGATGGAAACCAGTTTTTCCAAAATATACATATATTACACAGCATTGCACAACTAGAATAGTCTATTCTGTTACTAAAACCTACTTTCTTTTATTCTGCTTCTTTGTGTACATTTTGGGAAGTCATTTCTGGATCTTATCATTCTTCCCTTGAGGCCTTGCCTTTGGCAAGTGCAACACAGCAGAAAAAGTCCTGAACACATGCTCCATACCTTTTCCAAATATGAGTTATCTACCTCTGTCCATTATTAACTTCTTCACCAGGAATGATACAGATTTAAGTTTAAATTCAAGTTTAAGTTTAAATGCAGGATTCTAAATTTTGTTTTAAAAAACCTTATCTTTCAGTTCACTCATCTAGAAATGCTGTAGCCATGAACCTAAAAGATCTTATTTCATGGGTCTATAAGCAGTCAGGAGCAACTCAATAGCTATTCTGAGGGGTAGAAGAAATCATCTTTATTGTGTTTATCTTTATATGTGTGTATACATTTGATTATATATATATATATATATCAGAGTCTAAAGAGAGCACTCTGGGTAATGTTCTTATTTTGATATGATATTTGATATAGCGGTATGTCCGGAGGTCACAATTACTTTTCTATTTGGTTTCTTCATGTCAAATGGTGTATTTAGTAAGTTACCATTAAGAGAAGTTACAAAAACTGTTTAGAAGAAATAAGGAATAAAGGGAGAAGTGGTTTCTTTCTTATCTTAAATTTCTAGGGCACTTGGGAAAAAAATTTGACAGATAATATATATAGAAAAATTAACAGAGATTAAATAATAGAGGAACTAAATCTGGAATTTAATTTTAAGTGTGATCCATATTTCCTACTTGGTAGTCTATGCATTATCAAATTTGAAATAGAATAAAGCACCTAAATTTTTATAGTTGCATAAAGTTCTCTTTGTAAATGTGAAATGTCACTATGTCTTACTCAGAGTGGAGTAAAAAAGAGCAGAAAGAAACTTTGAAGCCAAGCTTATGTCACAGGTTACTATTTTAAACTTCTGTGGCATTATTTATCTTATCTTTGCTAGTTTTCAAAACAGACATTTTCAATGTTAATATTTAAGTCAAGTGCTACCAAAATATACTAGAAGACTACATTCTCAAATAAAATATGATTTTGTATCATAGCTTAGTTTTTCTACTGGGTAAGATATACTTCACTTATAAAACCAAGTATACTGAATACTGATTAGTAATGGAGAATCTTTGTGGAAAGAATTAAGATGAGCAAAGACCACCTGTAAGTCATTAAATTTCAAGTAAATGTAATAAACATAAGTAAATGTACGGCTATGGGAGCTTACCAACAAGTAAAGTGATGAAATATTTGATTTTCAAATCCAACTTTTGAAATCTAAGATGTTTTAAATTAATTGGTAACAAAAGCCAGAAAGACCTTTTTCACTAGCCAACTTTCATTCCTTAAACTTAATTTTAATCAAAACCTCTCACAAATTTACAAAAACTTGATGTTCCCTTTAAGACAATTCCTATCTTCAAGAATTTTATCACATTAAGTACTTAATTACTAATGGGGCAAACAGCCTTTACATATTCTGATGATGGCCAATTCTTTTGGTACAGTGAGACACTTTGCAAAATACAGGTCCCAAGGTGACCTAACTTCTTTCTTGCGTGATCAATGTTCAAGTTTGTATAACACGGTTCTCTGTGTACCCACTGAACATTGTTTGCATATCTATAATTTCTCTAAGTATCTGATATTGTGATTGATTATCTGTTAAAACAGTTTAATCCTCCACTGGACTCTGTATACCTTCAGGATATTCAGTTTTGAATCACCAGGGCTTAGCACTGTGTATGGCCATAAAGTAAAAATTCAATAAAACTATGCAGAATGAATGAAATAAGCAAAAACAGTTCAACTACAGAGGCAGCCAAACTCCTTTTGAGCTGCAATTAGTTGAGAGGATCAGTTATTGGTTCACCAGATAACTACTGATAGTTACATTAAACTACTTGATGTATTTGTTCTCAGTGGTGCTGAGGACATTACTGAGAAAGAAGGAAAAATTATATTCCAACAACTGCAGATCTTCTAAATAGAAATGTAATCACCCTAAAACATCATATTAAATGGTATATTTCTCCTTGGCAATCATAAGACTTCAGAACAAGCCCTGACACAGGGTTATTTAATATTCAACTAATAGGTTCAGCAATCTTGTATATAAAATTAGTGTAATATGAAAAAAGTCTGGGGATAAAACATCATTAATGCTTGTATTATATTTATAAAATATGGCCTTGGACATTTACTTCATATACAAAGTCAGTATTAAAAACATGTCCATTTAAATATTTTAAAAATCCCATGTAACCTTTAAAATATGTCTAGCTACAAAAGCTTATAACCTAATTGCTCTACTTTGGTTTGTGGGCAATGAAGAAAGGAGTAACTTGATGGCTGGTGCCCCGTCATCATGTTTTTTTGCCTAATGGCATTAGACTTTGTGTTTGTGAGGTGTCTCAAAAGTGTTTTAGGCATCGAGAAGACGGGTGACAGGAAAGATAATGGCACCTCGAAAATAGAGACCTAAATCCCTATAAGGGAGCCTCCTTCATTAGGACTGAATTAGTACACTTGTACAGTAGTTTACAGTTCTGTACCATTTAAAAAATTTACACATCCATATTCTGTAATTTACAGCCGACACATTGGTTGGTACACATTTAAGGGTTTTAGACATGAGTGGTAATACTAAATGGTTCTTAAGAAATAAAGTGAAATTCACATCAATTTATGAGGCATCACATAAGCACGTTTTGTTAGTATGACTGTACCTCGTTCTCCCTTCTGACACTTCTTTCTTTGCACTGTACACTTTCTTGTCTCACTGGTAGGGGGACACAGGTTACCCTTTGTTGATGGATGCTGTGTTATTTCTCGGACCCGGGTTTCAGTTCCTCTTTTGAAGCCACACGTTTTTCCTTTCTTTGCGCATGGACTCCAAGGGCCCCACTCACCGGCCTCGCAGTGCGCTGAAATAGAAGAGCAGAAACAGCCTCAGCTGCCTCACAAGTATTTTCGCGATCGTTAAATAAACTAAAAGATTTGCTTCCATGAATACTTGCCCAAATTCTGAGCAGAAATCCTGCAAACAAATCCTTGGGCAAGATAACTTAAAGAGAAAGGGAAAGGCATGAACAGAATAGCTGCAGGTTTTTAGTAGTCATATTACCAGGTAAACTTGCTCTTGCATTGGGTTTACTTTTCACCCTAAAGTTGATTAACCCGGCACTAAAATAATTATCCACAATTGACCAATGTGTTACAATTTCTAAACCACTGCTACAATTGGTTGATCCTGACCATAACTTGATAGAATAGTCATTGTTATGGGCTAGAGAATTGATTCTCAAACTTTACAGTGCAACAAAATCACCTGGAGGGTTTGCTAACGAAACACGGGACCTCACTCCCAGAGTTTTTGATGCAGTTGTCTGGGTTGGGGGGCCTGGGACTTTGCATTTCTAACAATATCTGTTATACCGTTGGTAGTACTGAGAACACACTTTGGGAACTCTGTTAGAGGATGGTTAAGCTAAAAAGGAACATTGGCCCTTGCCCTACAATTCATTGCCTTTTCTACTTTATGTGCTGTTGGGTACTTCAGTATTATCATTTTTTAAGTGGCATGGTTCAAGCAGCAGCATCCATTGTAAATGAATACTGGGTCCATTTTAGCTAATAAACTGTTTCTACAATTAATGTGATGAAACGATTTCTAAGATGAACTGAAATACTTTTTCTCAAACTTCTTTGGTTGATTTGTGTTCCTTTTCCTGTATGTATTAATCTCAATGAGGGCTTTCCAAGGCCTTGTAACAGATTTTTTCACTTCTACTGAAAATAAATATCTGCAAGGTGCTATCTTTATATTTAGGTCCATAAAACTTCCTAATTTAGAACAACTGGAAGGTCTTATAACAACAACTTTTTCAGATGACATAAAACTCTCTTTCCATGAAAACAAGTTGCCAGTAAACTTTGTTGCTTTCTTTTGATTTAAATAATTCTTATTTTAGAGGGGAAAGCTATCTTTCATACAACCTGAAGAAATATAACCTAAATGTTTGGGAAATTTAAATCCACTTGCCATACAATTTTTAACATGATTTTTCCATCACTTTCAGGTATCTGAATGCAAAACATTTATCAGAGTTAAAAGGAAATAATTAGATAAGTGAATTTAAGTTTCCATGAACTTAAATGAACTTTCTTGAACCACTTTCAAAATTGTCTTCATGCTCAGTTATATCCATTATAATTTTGGTTAAAAACAGAGCAACCAAGTCACTTAATGACATCATAAGATCTTGCCAGTTAAGGACGTATCTCCTATCCTGATAATAAATCAATAAAAAGCAGTGGATCTTTAGTACATACAAATAAAAACACCTCTAAGAAAGCAAATAGAAAAATAAAAATAAAAGCTTATGAGTTGTCATTTTGTCTAGTATTCATTCAATGCCAGAACTAAGAGGACTAAATTAGAAAAAATGGTCATGTTGTAGAAGTGACCAGAATCTTGGTGCTTTTTCACAATAGCGAAGGTGGTGTAGGCAAACATATACCTAGATTCCAGAAAAACAGATGTAAAAAATTATGGGATAGGTATCTGTGATTCCTTAGTCAGATGATGACTGGTTCTAAATATGAAATTCTTAGATAATTCCACTGAGGAAGGAGGGAAAATATGAAAAACTAATAAGTTTAGATAGAAAAAAGCTTTAATAACTTTTTAGTAGATGGGATAGTTAAAAAGCCTTGAGAGGAAGAGAATTTTTCCTAGAGAAATACTGTAGAATGAACCTGTCCAAAAAATATTTCTGGAAGAAAATGGAAATTTTGTAAAGACTACAGAAAAAAGGTGAATTAAGTTTTATTTAGGCCATTAAGTGTGAAATGTAGATACTGGGGCACTATTTGGTTAAGAAGTAATTAAGAAAAAGAAATATTTAACTTATGTATTAAGAATAATCTTAATGCTGGAAATCTTCAGAAGTATCTCAAAAAAGTCATTAGCTCCCTGTTCCCAGAAGTGGCCATGCTGTGGTTGATCTTCAGTCTGGAAAGCTGTAAAAGGGATTCTTGAATTGGAAGAAAAGTTCAACTGGATGTCCCATCAGTAATGGCCTTATAACACTATTACTCAATTACTCTCTTTTACTATCACTATTAGTCTATTTTTTGTTGACTAATTGCGTGGTTCCCTAGACAACATAGTAAGGGCATTGTCCTTGCTACACATTGTTTGGAGAAGGACATCTTCCCTTCTTGACAACTTGAACAAGGTCATCTGTTCAAGAGGAGTCATGAGGATGACAGAATGACAGTGTAGAAAGGAAGCAAGTATTTGGGGCACAAATGGAGGAAATAGGTTCTTCTATAAATTTGGGTTCTGTGGACATGTATGCTTAATGTGACCTGCAAAGCACGGAGAGTGGATATGTTATGACGTGAAACTTTCAGTCTGATTCTGTATCAGGGTGCTATTTTCTATTTGTGATCTTTCTTCTCAATTAAAACTCTGAGTAAGAAATCACACAGCATACAACTTAGCAAAGGGATAGACACATTCTTCAACCTCTTGGGTGAGCACTAGAGACTTAGAATCGAGGTACTAATTATAGCAGTGACAATAACTCGCATTGCATTCTTGGTATCACCATTTCAGCTCTCTGGGTCCTAGTTTTCATACTTGTTAAAGGATCAGGCTTTAATGTTCCCTTGTGATAATCAAGCAGGTTATCATTTTTTCATGAATTTCTGGGGCAAGCCCATGGGCAAGGCCTGCGTAGTGCTCGTAGGCTTGACACCACCTGATGGGAGGCATCCCTTATGGAGCAAACAACAGGCATCAGCCCTGAACAAAAGTTGCAGGTTTGCACAATTACTATGTCCTAGGTCATTTATACCTATCTGTTCAATGAGCCAGATTCAGTAAAGAGTGTTTAGATTCCCAAACTTTATGTTCAAATAAATAAATTTCTTAAAGTTTGTGTTAAGAACTAGTTTTGATCTAAATAGTATAAATTACCAGTAAGCTTTAAAACCGAATCCGACAGTGCCAGATGTTAAATGCTGATGGGAAAGCATTAATACATTTAAGATAAGTAGGCTTTCAAAGACTGAACACTTATACCTTCAACAACTAAGAAAATCTGAACATGTGCCTCTTTTCCTGGGTAGAGAAATACCACAAACTTTCTTTAACTCATCCTGAATTTCTGTCCTTGAATATCTCACAGAATTGTTTCTTATTTTTTCCACAGTTTGGAACTTACTACCTTGAATCATTAGCCCTCAGGACCCACAAAGGGATGAGTGTAAAGTGCTTCTCTGTATCTTTTACCCTATTTCTAAGTTGTTTTTCTGTGTGTTTTTTTTTTTCCAGAGGGAAAAAAAGCAACCAAAATGAGCCATGATCTGTTTCATGATTGTTGTTTTCCAGATGCTTTGGAAATTATCTTTAAAATACCAACCGTTTATTTCATTCTCCCAAAAACTTTGTTTAGAAATAAACATTCCATGTGAACCTGAAATGGTTAAACCACCACTTTAGCATTATTATTCCAGCACTTGAGATTCTAATGGATCTATCTGTGGGGACCCCAGGGAAGTCCTGGAGGCTATCTTGTACTGGATCAGGAGGACATTCGTGTGCATATGCCAACACTGGTGCAGCATCAAAGGTTCTCGTAGCTCTTGCCCAGGGGATTTTAAGATTTAGTATGCTGTGTTCCCATTTGGTTTAGCATCTGCTCCCCAACTGTTCATCAAGCTCATAGCTGTAGTAGCTGCACAACATTTAAGAGGGAGAAAACATAGCCTGACAGTGATTCGTTGTTTAGACAAACAACTTGTCTAAGGGACCTCCCCTCCAGGAAACACAGTATGCAATTAATTAATCAGACCCTGGGACTCTGTTCTTCTGCCAGTTTGAGCAAGTCCAAAATCCTCTCCTTGTTTCTGAATACCTGTGCAAACAGGACATTTCAGCAAAAGAGTTTGAGAGAAGAGTTTTTTAACTACATTGTTACCAATTCCTTAGGTCTCTGATCCATCTACTGAGTATTAATGAGTTATATCTAGAGAATATATTTCCTGCCTTTGGAAAATAACTTTGGTCCCTGTTTCATATGAGATCTAGGTGTTTTCTGAAACTCTTGCCCTATGGGGGAAATTTAATCCAAGATCAAATTTATATATACATAATATATACTATATAAACATATATATATAACAAATTACTGTAAGTAAAACTTCATGAAATAATGATGCAAAATAAATCTATAATGAAAAGAAGAGTTGAAACAGTTATTGACAGTCTGTAAGAAATAATGGAGCACTCATGGGGTGTTAAATTGTACTGTGATAAATATTGAGTAAGGTGATGCGAAGCCCATTAAGATGGTATCTTCGTAAAGGACTAAGGAAAGCTTCTTAGAGACAGTCCCTCGGGTTCTTGTGAAATAGCACTTTGAGCAGCACTTGCATGGAAACTGACATCATCTGAAGCACTTCTCATCTTCTCTAAACATTAGAGCTCCTCCTTACCAATGCTGACGCACTCCATGGTATGGTTGTTGGCTTCCAACCCTTCTGGGCAATTGTCAAGGCACTTCCCGAGGTGTAAGTAAAATCCATTTTTACACTTTGTGCAGAAATTTTTGTTGAAACAGGTATCACAGTCAGCTTTGCATTCTGAAAGAGAAAAAAAAGAAATATGCCTTTATCATCTTCATTTAACCATTGTTTGTCCAGTTCTACATGCTTACAACACAGGAACGTAGGACTTCTGTATCAGATAAACACTTGGGATTCAAAATTATTTTGCCAAACTGAATTAATGATTCCTCCATAGTCATTTAGTTGGTGTACATCAGTCATTGATTTCAAAATTATTATACTGATTGACTTATAAAACAATTTTGGCAATATGTCTATGGCCAAGAATATGTATAAGACCAAGTATTTACTTTTATTAAATGATAGAAAATTGAAAGTGTTACATCAGAACTTTAATGAACTAAACTGAGATATTGACTTTGTGCTGCTCTGAGGTCTATTCATTCATTCAATCAATATTTATTGCCCAAGTACTATTTTAGGTATTGATTGATAGTAGTGCATAGAAAAGAAATAAGGCCCAGATTTCACAAAGCTTACATTCTAGAAGGGGAAGCACAATACAGGATAGTAATAGTTGACCCTTTCCTGTGATTACTGTCAGACACGACTGCAAATATTTTACAATATTAAGTCATTTAAGCCTTATAATAACCCAGCAAAGTAGACCTAATTATGATTCTTGTCTTACTGATAAGGAAACTGAAGCTCGGAGATTTTATGTAACTATCCCAGGAGGACAGAGCAGAGTGGTTTTTGAGACAAGACAGTCTGGTTCTACAGTGATCCGCTCTTTGGAAAAAATAACAACAAAAGGTAGGAAAAAGAAATGGAAAATGACTGGTAAGGGGAAGAGGTTGATTATTTTGAAGAAGGTGGTCATGGAATGTCTCTACAAGAAGGTGACATATGAGCAGAATCTTGAATGAATGGAGAAAGTGAGTCAAGCAAGGGTGTGGGTGATGAGCTTTCCAAACTCCAGAACAAGTGACTGTAGATCAGTAACTGCAAAGGCCTTGCGGTGGGTAGATTTTGTAAGAAGGCTAGTGAGGTTAGTGCAAAGGGTTTCAGGGACAGTCATATGAGATGAATTTGGAGAGGTAAGCAGGGCCACATTTGACATATAATCAAGGAGTGATAATTCCTAATTTACATTTTAAAAGTTACTTGGTGTACAGTGTGGAAATAGACTTTCAGAGTCCAGATGAAAGGTGATATGTTTCTTACATTTATTTCCAACTGATAAATAAATCTTACAGTTGCTATACAGGGATCGTTCTTGAAGCAAAAATAGCTGAATTGATTCCTTAAGGCATTAAATACTTGGATTTTGTGATGGCAATGGGAACTTAGATGGTACTGATACTTGCAGAAATGTTCTGTAGGTTCATTGAATAAAATTATATTCTCAGTTTTTGCTTTTATAATGCAAAAAAAATAACAAAATAACAAAACATTAACCTTGAGTGATTTTTATAAGTGGTAAAACCTTTCCTGAGGCTTAAGTCTAAGTCTGGTTTAGCCTAATTATCAAGTAGACATTATTTACTTAACATTGAATATCACAAATATCCTAGAGGCCATTTCAAATCTGGAAAGTCCCCAAGGATGAGATAAAGTATAATTTTGTGTAGGCACTTACTTGTACACTTATTTATATCTGGATATCGAATTCCATAATATCCACTTGGACATGAAGAGAGACACACTCCAATCTGCTTCATGCCAATTCTTTCCAGAACAAAAAATAGTTTGGGCTTACATGACAAACATCCATTGTAATCTGAACACGTTGCACAGCCTCCTTGGCAGCCTTGACTGACGTTAGGATGCACTGAGAGGACAAATGTAGAAAGACCAAAACAAAGGTTAAACCGTAAGTGTCAAAATTCAGTGGCATTATTTGGGCAAGATATAAATTTTCTCTCATTAATCTTCAGTTTATTAGCAATTTGTGAATGAGTTGGTATTTTTCCCTCTCTTTTCTTTGGTCTTGTATATCTTCTATGATCTGTTATTTCCTTTTAACATATACATACATTATTCTTACATTCGAAGTTCTTAAAATATGAGCATTTGAAAAATAAGAATATATTGTCTCGAACTATTTATAGGTTACTAGCACCCTGGCAGATTGTAGACTGGGTAATTTTGTACCCATTCCCTGAAATCAATACACATTAGTTTTACTTTTCATTTATGTGGTGGATGATGAACTTGTCTCCAATTTCTTCAGGTAAGGCTGACAACATAGACTGGGACTTAGCTTGAGTAAGGACACTACATTCTAGGATACTTTTTCAACTATGGCCCATGAGAGAACAGAATTTTACTCTTTGATCCGTTGCAAATTAATTTTGAAAATATGTATCTATTTAGCATCCCCCCGCGCTGTCCTGAAATATTTCTTGTCACATGAGTTTAGTATTTATCAGTTCAAATTGATTTAATGGTGAAAATGTGACATTTTTACCTTACCTGTATTTCCATGTGGATCAGATGTGAATACAGTTGACCTCTGAACAATGCAGGGGTTAGTTGTGCTGATACCCATACAGCCAAAAATCCATGTATAACTTTGACTCCCCGAAAAGTTAATCTACTAATAGCCTATGGTTGACAAGAAGTCTTATTGATAACATAGTCTATTTACACACATTTTGTATATTACATGGATCATATACTGTATTCCTACAATAAAATATGCTAGAGAAAAGAAAATGTTTTTTCAGATTCCTACAATAAAGTACGCTAGAGAAAAGAAAATGTTTTTTCAAATTGTTGCAAATCTCAAAAAAATTTCCAAAGTATTTATCGAAAAGAATCTGTATATAAGTGGACCCATGCAGTTCAACCCTATGTTGTTTAAGGGTCAACTGTATTAATAAAATTTATCATAATTTATGTTCAACATTTTATCTTTTGGGAGAGAAGTCTTATCATTTTTGTGCCATCATTTTCCATTTACTTCCGAGGCAAAAATATATATTTGGTAAGAACATGACCAGTCCACACTAAGAACTACTGCTACACATATTCCTGAGAATTACGAGGTTTCCAAGAGTCATCAATACATGTGGTGAGACTATTCATTAGCAAGTCTGGACAAATATAAACAAACATTTGGAAGATTCATGTTTGCTTGCTATCTTTATGACTTTCAACCTCCTCATGACTATTAACTGGACATCAATATCTATGTCTGAGCTGATGAAAAGTGGCGACCTATGGTGAATCTCTCATGCAGCTGGTGTTTGGGATTTCTTCTCCTAATGTTTTCTCTATTCAAATACAATATTAATAGCTTTATTGTCCTTTCAGGAATCTAGAAGGGAAGAAACCTGACCCGTATGAGAAGCAAAAGTTGATGCAGAGGAGTTTGAAGGCATCCCTGTGTATTTCTGACTTCTTTTGTTTGATTTAAGGAGGAATAGGCTCTGATGGACCTGCCATTATTAAGTCTATCTTCACGGTGATGTTTGCTTATTGCTAAGTTCTTCACCACAAAAATAAATCACACCAGGCTTAGTTAGAAAGGGTACCCATAAGCTCAATCAGCCTTCCCACAGGGATGTATGAGTTAGCTACAGAGAGGTCATTTGATTGACCAGTACCCTCTGCCTAGAGGAAATCATCCCTGAATCAGCCACAGGAACCACAAGCAGCTTATTCTCATTCCAAGACGTTTTGTAAATAAACTGAGGAAATGTGTGGGGGAAGGGAAGAAGTCTGCTTTTCTTCTACAAGCTCCTATGTGGGGTAGGGTGGACATATAAAGTGGCACAGGACATTTAGACATATAGGACCTAGGGGACATGTAAGTGAAAACTGCTTTCCAAGTAACTGGGTCATTTTTCATGCCAGTAAGTCAGCACTAGAGACAGACAGAAAATATGTAATATTTGAAGTGGAGAAAGACCCTAAAAAGAAAAAGGGTGAAAGAGTTCCAGTATCTAACTGACCCATTTCAGGATGTAAGAGGTATAGGTAAAAACCTGTAAAACCTTTTCATAAAAGCTGCCTATGAAAAAGTGGACCCCATTTTGACAAAAAAAAAAAAAATCACACCAAGCTCAGGGCAGTAGGTGACTCTGAATTTAAATGAAGATGGATTGGACTGGTCTATGCCAATCTGCCTCCATCTCTGAAATGCAGCTGTTCAAAGGAAACACAGGTTTAATTTCAGATACCTTGAAACTTTTGTCAATTATGATATAATTTTAAACAGATCATTTATGAAAATAAACATGATTTCCATGTTCAGCATCTCAAAAACTGATATACCTTAAAATAAATTTCATTTTAAAAGTTGCATCTTGGATGCTTGGAAATTTCTCCAGGAGATCATTCTGTACGGGTCCCATGATCGGCAACCACTTCCACTGCAATTATGAGATGTGCCAAACTACCTTGCACGCCTCCCTTTTTGAAAAATTTACTGATGAAATGCAGCATGAACACCTCATACATTGTGCTACAATCATTGTTTTTGTTTGCCTTTTTCCCTATTTTGCCTTTTTTAAACAAAGTTTTTGACAAAATAGAGTTGTGAAGAAGTAAATAAGACATAATTATCCTAAGTGGCAAAGAAAATTCCTGTTTGTTTTTAATCAGGGAATTTTTAATATCAGCAGGTACAAATAATGACAAACTTGATTTCTTCACGAAGGTTTAAGTATAAGCCTGGGGGAATTGAGAAAAATTGATACTATGAAGCTTGGATTCTATGATTTTAGATTTTTTCTTTACAGTTGAGTAGCATAGTGATTGCTTTCTTGAATGCTGACTAAGGGTCACTCAAATTATAGTCACTATTACACAACTAGATACAAATTTCCCAAACCTCATCTTAAGGCAAACGTTTTTACTTTTTATATGGTAACGACAGAAAACTTGCTCTGTATTGACCGTAACAACACTTTCAGCCTTAAAATTGTATGATTCTAAGAAAGAGAACAGAATTCTACATTGTCATGCTTCTCCTTTTCTTCCATTTCGATAATTACTTCATTTTGTATTTCTGAATCAGTTTTTTTCAAACAATATTTTTGTACTATTATTTTACATGAGCAATGGAGGCATTGTGGTTAAGAGGTTTCATAGACTAACATATGAACTTAATCTTAGAAAATCAGTTAAGTTATCAGTATATAAATGATCATGATGGTTAGAGGGGAGGAACACCACCATTACCTACATCAAGAAGTTGCATAAGCTTGAAGCAATTGCGGTATAAGTAGCGGTTAAGGGATGTATAAGGGGTACCGAGAAGACTGGAAGCACAGGGCAGATGTAGATTATGGAACTCTTTGTGGGCTGGGCCAAGGAAATTATTCTGTAGATATGGGGAATTTGATCTGCTGTGTGATACAAACACATTTGAATTTTTTAGGAAGGTAATTTTCCCAGCAGCATGGCAGGCTTGGACACTAGGAGAAATGGAATGTTGTGGTTAAGGTAAAAGGCTGAGGATAGCTTAAAATACAGCAGAGGCAGTGTAATGTGCCAAGGAAGGGATTACTCCAAGGATATTTAGTAAGGGAATCAATCAAATATAGTGATTAACAGAACGTGGGCTGAATAAATAAGAGAATTTGGGAAGGTATGTGTCGAGTTTTAGCCAGTGGATAGAAAAGGGAGGGATGGCTGGGGGAAGTAAAAGTCTGCAGTTGGAGGTCTGGGGCAAGGTACACAGAATAAAAAGTTCTAAAAATATAGACATGGGTTGGGACCTTTGACTTTATAGGTATTATGAAATAAAATCATGAAATAAACCAGAAAGTGATGTTTAATAGATGGAGCTTAGTATTGCAGTGGTTGATAGAGATGTACATGTGAATCTCTGGTAGTAGCTACTTAATGAAAGATGTCCTCAGGCTCTAAAGATTGCCAGAAAAAGGAAGCAGTCCAAAATACGGGGCATTTAGTAAAAGAAATAAAGTACAGTATCAGCTGATTTTAGTAATAACTTTAATTTCTATACTTTTTTCTTTCAATGCATGGGTCTCATAGAAAGCTAAATTGTCTGCAGTAACTGCTGTTAGTAAGGATAAAAGCTATCACAATTATTTATTTTGAAACCCAAAACTAGGACTCAAATGTTGTAAACTACTGGAAAAGCAGTGAGTTTAGATTAAACATAGAACCTAGGTCTCTAATATCTGTCTCTTCATATACAAGTAAACTTTAGATGTGTAATGTGGGTAAATATGAGTGGAAAAATTGGCAGAATTCATGGGAACTTTAAATTGGGAACTTCTGATTATAAATATGTCAAATACAAGGTAAAATTAATGTCTTTTCCTAAAATTGAGAAAGAGGAAAGTATCTTGTGTCTGAAGGTTAAGTATGAAAGAGTATATTTTAATGCATAACTTAACCCAATTTTCAGTGTCAACTGCTGACACTCCGTTGAGTAAGTGACTTCTATATCTCTAGCTGTTAAACAAGACTTCCTACTGTTTCTCTATTTAAGAATCTTGTGATGCTTATATGGTGCAACAACCCCTAAAGGCTATTGTCATGAGAATGAATTCAACTTTTGTGACAGAACATCCAGAACATAGAGTTTTAAATGGTGCTAGAGTATTTGGTAGATATGCAACTGTCAGCTAGTTGTTTTCAGTGTTTATGATATACCAAACCAATTGCAGCACTGGAATCTAAGTTCTGTTTCTGTTCAAGTTTCAAGGATTTGCCTTATTTTAATCCCCTTTCTAAAGCCCAACTGCAAACATGCTACCATCTATTTTAAATTGCTGTTTGGAAGAAACCCATTATGGCATGCTGCCAATTACCTCTGATGGTCATTGATATGTGGCCAGAGAATTTCAG